ACGAGACGTGCCATCTCGCGCTCCAGAGGGAGAAGGTCGTGTGCACGAGACGTGCCATCCCGCGCCCAGGAGGGAGAAGGCCGTGTGCACGAGACGTGCCGTCCCGCGCCCCAGAGGGAGAAGGTCGTGTGCACGAGACGTGCCATCCCGCGCCCAGGAGGGAGGCCGTGTGCACGAGACGTGCCATCCCGCGCTCCAGAGGGAGAAGGTCATGTGCACGAGACGTGCCATCCCGTGCCCAGGAGGGAGGCCGGGAACAGCCCCTCCCTCACAACCTCTGAAGGGACTGGCCTTGGACACCATGATTCCTGATTTCCGGTCCTCAGGGGTAAGAGAGAGCCCGTCTCTGCTGTCTAAGTCCGAAGTCTGGGGTCCTCTGTCTTCACTGTGGAGCTAGGGTGGGGTGGGAGGTGGTGGGTCCCTGTTGGGCCACTTTGTATCACATTCAACAGGGACCCCGGCGCCTCGGGAAGCTCATTCAGTCCATGAAACCTCACACCCTGGGAGGCTCCAAAAACACAAAGCATGAGAATTGCTCCCTCTGGTGTCGGCCTGGGGCCAGGGCCACACAGCGGTTCTCAGGGCTCTGCCGAGTCCAAAAAGTGTCCGGCCACTGGGTGTCCTTCCAGCCACAGCTTGCGACACGCAGAGACGCACGGAGACACCGGGACGGCGGACAGTTCCATGGGGACCTGGGCTGGGTGACACCAGGATCCTCCTGGCAGCTCCCTACAGAGTTTGCTCGCTGGACCTGCGCTGGGGCTGGGGTGAGTGACCGGATCCCCCACGTTCCCCAGACAGTCCCCGGAGCCTGTGCACGTGACCTCATTTGGAAAGGGTGTCTTTGCAGAAGTGCTGAGCGAGCTGAGAGAGCTCATCCTGGATGAGGTGGCCCTGAACCCAGGACAGGTGCATTTAGAGAAGACACAGAGAAGCCACCTGCAGACAGACAGAGGTGGGCATGGCGCTGCCAGGGCCACCTGGAGCCCCGGGAGCCACTGGGACAGGAAGGACCCTTCTCAGGGCCCCGGGGGTTGCATGGCCCGTGTGGATTTGGGGTTTCTGGGTCCAGAGCTGGGGGAATCAATTTCTATTTGTTCAGCCCCTTGGTGCGTGCTCATTTCTTACAGCATCCCCACGGAGGCAAAGAGGTGTCGCATGCACCCCCGAATCTGAGAGATGACAGAGGCTGGGGAAGGGCCAGAGAGATGGCCTTGGGGTGGAGGCAGAGTTAGAGCTGGACACACGCTGTGAGGGGCGCCCGGTGGGCGGGGCCGAGGCTCAGCTGCTGATCCCCCCATTGGGTCTTTGAGGGGACACAGGGGCCTCAGTAGCACCAGCCCCTGGGGCAGGCCTATGCTGACAGACACCACGGCATTTGGGGATGACGAACTGCTGGCTTTTTCTTTTTCTTTTTTAAATAAAGGGGATGGCTTCATCTGTGAGGGCAGATACACCGGGCCTGGCACGGCCAGGCCGGACCAGGCTGTGGGATCTCCCCCAGGTCCGGGCACCGTTTCCTTTACATCTGAGGAGATCTGGCAGCACGAGCATCCCTTCCCCAGGGCCACACGGATCTAGGACTAAGTCCCTAAAGCCAGCTCCGGGTCTTTTCACCACGTCCTCCACTGAAGCTCAGTTCCCACACAGCTCCACTGTGGAATCAGGGGTCTCGCCCTATCACGGATGGGGACCCTGGCCCCAGGCTCCTTGGCATGAATGCAGGCAGCGTGTGTGAAGAATCCCGCTGGGTGGCGGGGTGTCAACACCCACGGTGCACACTGAACGCCAGCTGTGTCCCAGGCACCGTCCCAGGCCTCACAGAAGGGGAAGAAGGCCAGAGGGGTCAGTCATTTGCTCAAGGCCACACAGCCCACCGGCGGCAATTAGCATGCGGTCCCCGCAGTCTGCCCAGAGCCAAGTGTCTGCTTCGCAGCTGCCTTCTGACACCTACTGAAAGAACCGTGCTCACTCACGTGGCACTCAGGTGCGGCTGCTGTTGACCTTGGAGGCTGGTACTATGAGGCTGATTAAGGCCATATCTGGAGGCCTCGGACAGCACACCGGGGTTTTATTTACAGCGCCGACACCTGTCTGCGAGCTAGCAGGCCAGGCTGTGTTTGGGTGTGTTTCCCTCACGTGGTTTTTCTTAGGGCACGAACACGGAGCCAAGAGTGCCCTGAGGGCTGCCTGGAGGTCAAGGTGCACACACATGCAAATATGCACACGCACACACATGTGCACACGTGCAAACACAAACATGTGCACATGCACACACTTACAGAACAGAAATATAACCTCATTTCGGGGTGGAGCCAGAACATCAAGGGATGAGCCTCAACGGGGCCAAGAACAGCCTGAGGCAGGCAGGGGAGTGCTCCGAGGTCCCACCTCTACGCACCGGAGGCTCGGACTCACCAGCGCTTCTGCAAAGGCGGTATGTGCTGGGTCCCTGGGATGCCCGGTGCTGGGCAAGCCACATAAAACATCGCGGACCAAGACCCTGGCTGCCATGAGACACCCACTCAACTCCCGGGCGCTGGGCTTGCCTCGTGCGTGCCGTCTGTTCAGCCCTGGCCTCAGGACCAGGCGCGGGGCCAAAGCAGGTAGGGGAGGATCCCGTCCACACAGCTCTGAGAGGAAGCCAGACTGCCAAGCTTCGTGGTCAGCAATGGCCGAAGAGACGGAGGCTCTTCCTACTTGAAAATGAAAGCCGCCGCTGAGAAAGAACGGGTAGTTGTAGGCGTCCAAACAGCTCCAAGCTGATGGCCGTTTTACCTGAATTTACAAGTCTGACGTAAAGACGTAAAGCTCTGCCTAGTTACCGATCATGCACATTCAAATCAGCTAATTTAAAATCCTATTTTAAACACTAGCCACATGGCCTTCTGACGGATGCCCATCTGACGGCCGTACACGATGAGAATTACGGGCGCCACTCAGCTCGCCAGCTGTGCAGCCTCCAGGGGCTTCCGTCGGGGCCTGGGATCCAGCCAGCCCCCCCGTATCTGAATCTGTACTTGCCCTCATGTGAGCTGCATGCGTGTGACGGTGCCCGTCCCATCTTAACCATGCCCAACAGTTTCCGCTCCGGGTTCCCTTCCGAAGCTGGAAATCTTTCCTAGGAGGCCTTTTCCCCCTTAAGCAGCGGGGCCTAGATTGGAAAGGGGAGGCTGGGCTTCCACGACTCAGGGGCTGACGGACAGGAGCAGGATGAGAGCTGGCTCCAGTGGGGTGTCCGGCCGGGGTCCTGCCGTCACCAGGGGACAGACAGGTTGTTGAGTGAAGGTGGGCAGGAGACACCCTGGATTCTCAGGGCGACGAGGACGGTCCCACATTCATGCAAACTTCCAAAGGAAGTTTCCCAGATTGTACCAAGACCTCAGGTGGATGCATCCCAAGCAGTGACGTTTACTTAGCGTGCTGTGCTCAGCTGGTGAGCCAGGGAGATGAGAACTCTGCCCGGAGAAGCGGGTGCCCGGCATGTACGTCCGTGCGTGGCCTGGACCTGTCCTTTTGATTCTTCTTTCCGGCACCCTGTGTGTGCACGTCTGCCATGTGTGTGTGCATGTCTGCTGTATGTGTGCATGTCCACTGTATGTGTGTGTGCATGTCTGCCATGTGTGTGTGCATGTCTGCTGTATGTGTGTGTGCACATCTGCTGTGTGTGTGTACACGTCTGCTGCATGTGTGTGTGCATGTCTGCCGTGTGTGTGCATGTCTGCCGTGTGTGTGTGCACGTCTGCTGTATGTGTGCATGTCTGCTGTGTATGTGTGCATGTCTGCTGTATGTGTGCATGTCTGCTGTATGTGTGCATGTCCGCCATGTGTGTGCATGTCCGCCGTGTGTGTGTGCATGTCCGCCGTGTGTGTGCACGTCTGCCGTATGTGTGTGTGCACGTCTGCCGTGTGTGTGTGCATGTCTGCCGTGTGTGTGCACGTCTGCCGTATGTGTGTGTGCACGTCTGCCGTGTGTGTGTGTGCACGTCTGCTGTATGCCTGTGTGTGCATGTCTGCTATGTTTGTGTGTGTCTGTGTGCATGTCTGCTGTTTGTGTGTCATGTGTGTGCATGTCTGCTGTTTGTGTCATGTGTGTGCATGTCTGCTGTTTGTGTCGTGTGTGCATGTCTGCTGTTTGTGCACGTCTGCTGTGTATTTATATACATATGCACGTGTGCCTGAGTGTGTGCACGTCTGCTATGTTTGTGTGTCATGTATGTGCATGTCTGTGGTATGTGTGTGCATGTCTGCTGTTCGTGTGTGCACGTCTGCTGTTTGTGTCATGTGTGTGCATGTCTGTGGTATGTGTGTGCATGTCTGCTGTTTGTGTGTGCACGTCTGCTGTGTATATTTGTGTACATATGCACGTGTGCATATAGTTTCTTCCCACTTGGATTGGTTTTGACAAAAAGGTGTATCAGCTTCCCAAGCTGGTCCCTGCAATGGTGAGGGATGTGTGGCTCTCCATGCCAGAACCACACCCTCAGCTGCCCAGCAAAGGCAGTGGCTTCTTCCAAGGCATGGGTGCAGCCCACACACAGGGTTGAGGGGGAGCTGCAGGTGGCCTCAGCCCCAGGCCAAATTCCAAGGACCTGCCTCTTCCAAAGGCCTCCCTCTAAGGGCCATGGCGAAGTCATGACTGTCCTCTCATCCCACCTGGCTGCATGGGGTGGGCTGGTTTATACACAGATAAGACTGCACCTGCCGTGAGGCCAGACGCAGGTGGCCATGGCGCTACA